ATCTTCCGATCAAAGTATATTCTCAGTAAATGCTGCCGTAAAAAAGGCGGCAAAAGTCAAATTGGATAAACACGATAAGCATGTACAGTGCCCTGATGGCACAACGTTTGGAATAAGACAAAAAGGCAAACTTTACTATATAAATAGCATATCATCTTCGAATAAAAATGCATGTTCTCTTTACGAGTGGCACAAGGTTCTAGGTCACTGCAACTACAAGGATGTTAGGAAACTAGAGAAGGTGGTTAAGGGGATGAAAATCACAGACTTGAGGGAAGTTGAGTGTGAGGTTTGTACACAAGGTAAAATGTGTCAGACGAAAAGTAAGCTGGAAGATAAAAAGGCGAGAGGTCCTCTTGAGTTTATCCACACAAATCTTGCAGGTCCTATTGATCTGGAAGGAAGAGAAGGGTTTAGATATGCATTGTCGTTTGTGGATGATTATTCAGGATTGAATATGGTCTATTTTCTTAAGCATAAAAGCGATACACCACAAGCATTAAAACAGTTTTTAGCAGATGTTGCACCTTACGGAAATGTGAAGCACATAAGAAGTGATAACGGCACTGAATTTACAAGCGAGAAATTCAAATCGATTCTTAAGGAAAGCAAAATTAGGCATGAAACTAGTGCACCATATTCGCCACACCAGAACGGCACAATTGAGAGATTGTGGTTAACTTTATTTAACATGGCTAGGTGTCTATTGCTAGAAGCGGAAATAACAAAATCCATGTGTTCATATGCTGTCATGGCATCTGCTTATATTAGGAATCGTTGTTTTAATTCGAGGTTGAACAAAACTCAGTTTGAAGCGTTTACAGGCTCAAAACCAGACTTGAGCAAAATGCACGTTTTTGGTTGTGTTTCTTATGGTTTTTCACAAAAATCCAAAAAGTTAGACCCTAGAAGTAAACAAGGTATTTTCGTAGGGTATGATAAAAATAGTCCAGCATATCTACTATACTACCCTGACATTAACAAGGTAGAGCGTGTAAGATGCGTTAAGTTCTTCAGGGAGGGTAGCAGGGAACTGCCAGAACTAGATGATGAAGAACTTGCCCCTCAGATAGCAAAATTACATGAAAGAAACCCCAAAACAGCTAACGAAGACATTAGTGCTCCAGAGACAACTAGAGAATCAAGACACCCCACTAGGATAAGAAGTAAGAGTAAATATCTTGACTGTAAATGAGAAAAAACAGCTGATTCGTAAGTACGGAGGATGTTTTATTTGCTTGAAGAAAGGACATGTCAGTAAAAATTGTAATAATAATAATAAATGTAATGCATGTGGGAAGGCACACCATAGTTCAATTTGTGAAGCCAATGGGATTCTTTCAGGCGATGTTCAAACCAACCATTCTATTTTGGGATCTCATTGTAGGGTAGCATTACAGACAGCACAGGCTTTTATTAAGGGAGATAATGGAAGTGTTAGAGTCAGAGTCTTATTTGATTCAGGAAGTCACAAGTCATTTGTGAAAGGAAAATAATACAGAGAGCAGTTATTCAGTTTTAGGAGTTGGGTAGAAATCAAATCATTTGGTCAATGGGCTAAAGAGTTGGATGGTGACAGGAGGAAACAGTGGGAGGTGTGGATAGAAGAGTTAGAGTAAGTAAGGGACTTAGTAGGACGAGATATGTTTATGGTAGTTTGATTGGTGAGACAAAGTGTTACTTGCATGGGTTTGCAGATGAGCCTGAAGGATACTGTGCAGTAAATATTTCGTAACAGAACTAAATGGGGTTTCAGGTAGAATTGCTTTGGGAAAACGAGGATAGCGCCAAAGGCAAAAGAGGTTAATGATACAGAGGAAAGTCTTGCTGAGGTAAAAAGGACTGCATTAGTTGCAACACAGGTAGTAGAGAGTGCAGTGAAGTTCGGGGATTTTAGTGATATAGAATGACTTGAATGGGTCATGGCATTTGTTCAACGGTTTGTAGACAATTTGAAGGCAAAAGGTAAGCATGAAGCAGAGAATATGGGAGCATTGAGAGTATCAGAGCTGGTGATCGCAGAGCAAGTGTTGATAAAATGGGCTCAGAACGAAGTAAGGAAATTTAGTGATTATGAGCAAATAGTCAGACAATTGAACATAGTGGTGCGTAATGGAATGATTAGATGTAAGGGTAGACTTGGCAATTCAGAGTTAGAGTTAGAAGCGAGGGAACCAATTTTATTCCCTAAGGACCACCACTTAACAGAATTATTCATTAAAGATTGCCATAGGAAGGTTCACCATAGTGGGGTGAGAGCGACCTTAGCTCAGCTACGCAGCAAATTTTGGGTGCCTCGAAGTAGACAGTTTGTAAAACGGGTGATTGGTAATTGAATGATTTGTAGAAGGCATCAAGGCCCGGCTTACAAAACACCAGTGCAAGCAGATCTGCCAGACTTTAGAGTACAATATTCCCCTCCCTTTTCTAAGGTAGGTGTGGATTTTGCGGGACCATTGTTTGCAAAAGAAGGTGGGCAAATGGTTAAGGTGTACATTGCATTATTTTCTTGCTGTGTGGCAAGAGCAATTCATCTTGACTTAGTGGATAGTTTAAGTGCCCGTTGTTTTTTGAATTGCACGCAAAGGTTCAACGCTAGAAGGGGAACACCATCGCTAATGGTTTCGGACAATGACAAGACGTTTAAAGCAACTGAGAAAGCATTGAAGGGAATTTATGATAGCAAGGAGGTGAAATCATTTTTGGAAGTTAATAGGTTGGTGTGGAAATTTAATTTGGCAAGGACACCTTGGTGGGGTGGATTTTTTGAAAGAATGGTAGCGTTGGTGAAAGGTTGTCTGAGGAAGATATTGGGTGATGCTAAATTGAATAGGGAAGAACTGTTGACGACATTAGTTGAGGTAGAAGGTACGTTAAACTCCAGACGATTGACGTATGTGTACGATGATGAAGTAAATGTGGATGTACTGACTCCTTCCCATCTCATGTTTGGAAGATGATTTGCATCTATTCCAGACGAGGAAGTTCAAAACACTATTAGGGATGAAGATGAAGGAAAGATAAAACGTAGGTTTAGATATTTAGCGAAATTGAAGACACATTTTTGTCAAGGTGGAGGAAGGAGTCGGAAAAGTGAAGGGTAGTTTTTGTCCAAAAATAGGTGATGTCGTTCTTGTTTTGACGAAAGTTTAAAAAGAGGGTTTTGGAAAACAGCGAGAATTAAGACATTAGTCGTAGGAAAGGATGATATAGTCAGAGGAGCAGAAGTCAGAGTTGTCAGTAAAGGAAGGCCTCAGTATATAAGTAGGCCTCTGCAAAAATTGTATCCACTTGAGATAGATGTAAGGGTACATGATAACAGAGTGCAAGGTAGTGAGAAATTAGAATAGAGAAAAGGAGAGCATGGCAGGAAGTAACAAGAGACCCAAAAGGCCTGCAGCTATGAATGGATGTTGGCGAACAAAAGTTATGTTTGACCCTAAAGGCTCAAAGGGGGGAGTATGTCGGAAATTATGTAAATAAATTATGATTGTTATTTGAGACTAGGAACTTATCGTTAAAGCGAAAAAGGAACTTATGATTATTGAGTATTTTAGAAGGGTCAAATTAAGACGGCATTGTCTTTTGTTGATGCCTGTGAACGAGTAAGGAGCATGAATTGAAATTGATGTATAACTTTGACTAGAAAATTAAATTGATGACATTTTGAGAATTGTGTTTGACTGCGCGCTAGCTTTAGATAGTATACAGTCCCATAGAGAAAAGGCGGACGCATAACTGCTTTGTGCTAACGTGCAAGGGAGAAATTTGCTACATCATTAAAATGTTCAATAAATGCTGGACTTTAATCACCTGCTGTTTTTATTGTAAAATATTGAATTCTGGTCATACCCAATTAAATATGAAATGCAAATTTTTATTTTAGCTATGACTGAAGTAAACACAAAGAAGTTTTGACTTGGAAGCTTTATGCCATTAAACCTTTAACAGTTTACTATTATTTATTTTAATTATTGAATATTCTGACTTACATGCAAACTTAGTGAAATACTCGTAAAGGAAGACGGGGCAGCTAGCCTTTTACAAGTAAGATAGGTCAAAAATTCAAGATAAATAATTTCTGAAGTAAAGAAAATCGATAAACATAGCTACTCTGAAATTGTCAACGTTCCAACTTTGAAACGTGGTCAATGAAGATTTGTCATTTGGTAAACTTTTGATCCGACTAAACAAATAATCTGATCAGGGGCGTGAGAAGCAAGTAAAAGTTGGGGTGCTCAAGATTTTAGGGGCAGTCTTTATTTAAAAAGGGAATTTTAAAGTAATTAATCTCGAAGTCTCTAATTTTGAATATTTTTGTCACATCTCCAGTAATCAGAGACAGTTCAAAATTGATGGCGTTTGGACTTGACAGTTCATCATGCAAAGTTTTACCATTTTGTGAGCTTTTGACGCAAACAAATATTTTAAATAGTCTATCTTACAACAAGTTGAACAATTACAGACCAGAAAAAAATCACGTGTACCATCATGTGAAGAAATGAGCTTTTCACTTCAAGTAGGCGCATTTTCTAAAGACATACCTAGCAAAACGGTTATGTCATCATCTGAGTTAGGAATAAGATAAATAGGGAGATGACTATATAAATGAGGAAAAAATTCGTCTTGATAAAAGCCATGTTAGATAAAATTAAAATTATTGCACATAATGATATGCATAACTAAAATTCTGTTACGTGTCATAATTTTGATTCATCTTGTTAATTTTCTAGCCCAAACGTACCAATGATATTTGAAAAGACTAGCAAAATTAATTGTTTGTGATAATGCAAGAAAGGACAGTATTTTGAAATGATAAAGTATCCAATGTGTTATTGGGAAAATCCCACCAAAATCAACAGATGTATCAATATAAAACATATGAAGCGCGAATTCCTCCACGAAAATGACATTCAGGTTTTTTATGACAAATATAACAAAATTATAGACATAAGAACAAACAATGACACTATGATAGGTAAACTTTATAATCAACATACCTTAACAAATTTAGAAAGATTAAAGACGACACAACCAACTACGTGATGTCTTTGCTTCTGCTTGATAATAAAGAAATTGGAATGTTCACTAAATGTTCAATTTTAATCGCCTGCTGTTTTTATTGTAAAATATTGAATTCTGCTCATACCCAATAAAATATGAAATGCAAGCCAGCCTTTAACAAGTAAGATAGCACAAAAATTAAAGATTCATGATTTAGGAAGTAAAGTAAATCCATAAACGGAGCTTCTCTGTATGGTGGACCACAAGTGTGACAGCAATAAACAAAACTCCACGGCAATAAACAAAACTCCACGGCAATAAACAAAACTCCACGGCAATAAACAAAACTCCACGGCAATAAACAAACTCCACGGCAATAAACAAAACTCCACGGCAATAAACAAAACTCCACGGCAATAAACAAAACTCCACGGCAATAAGCAAAACTCCACAGCAATAAACAAAACTCAACGGCAATAAACAAAACTCCACAGCAATAAACAAAACTCAACGGCAATAAACAAAACTCCACGGCAATAAATAAACTCCACGGCAATAAACAAAACTCCACGGCAATAAACAAAACTCCACGGCAATAAACAAAACTCCACGGCAATAAACAAAACTTCACGCCAATATGCAAAACTCCACAGCAATAAACAAAACTCCACGGCAATAAACAAAACTCCACGGCAATAAACAAACTCCACGGCAATAAACAAACTCCACGGCAATAAACAAAACTCCACGGCAATAAACAAAACTCCACGGCAATAAACAAAACTCCACAGCAATAAACAAAACTCAACGGCAATAAACAAAACTCCACGGCAATAAATAAACTCCACGGCAATAAACAAAACTCCACGGCAATAAACAAAACTCCACGGCAATAAACAAAACTCCACAGCAATAAACAAAACTCCACGGCAATAAACAAAACTCCACGGCAATAAACAAACTCCACGGCAATAAACAAAACTCCACGGCAATAAGCAAAACTCCACAGCAATAAACAAAACTCAACGGCAATAAACAAAACTCCACGGCAATAAATAAACTCCACGGCAATAAACAAACTCCACGGCAATAAACAAAACTCCACGGCAATAAACAAAACTCCACGGCAATAAACAAAACTCCACGGCAATAAGCAAAACTCCACAGCAATAAACAAAACTCAACGGCAATAAACAAAACTCCACGGCAATAAATAAACTCCACGGCAATAAACAAAACTCAACGGCAATAAACAAAACTCCACGGCAATAAATAAACTCCACGGCAATAAACAAAACTCCACGGCAATAAACAAAACTCCACGGCAATAAACAAAACTCCACGGCAATAAACAAAACTCCACGGCAATAAACAAAACTCCACGGCAATAAACAAAACTCCACGGCAATAAACAAACTCCACGGCAATAAACAAAACTCCACGGCAATAAACAAAACTCCACGGCAATAAACAAAACTCCACGGCAATAAGCAAAACTCCACAGCAATAAACAAAACTCAACGGCAATAAACAAAACTCCACGGCAATAAATAAACTCCACGGCAATAAACAAAACTCCACGGCAATAAACAAAACTCCACGGCAATAAACAAAACTCCACAGCAATAAACAAAACTCCACGGCAATAAACAAAACTCCACGGCAATAAACAAAACTCCACGGCAATAAACAAAACTCCACGGCAATAAGCAAAACTCCACAGCAATAAACAAAACTCAACGGCAATAAAACAAAACTCCACGGCAATAAATAAACTCCACGGCAATAAACAAACTCCACGGCAATAAACAAAACTCCACGGCAATAAACAAAACTCCACGGCAATAAACAAAACTCCACGGCAATAAACAAAACTCCACAGCAATAAACAAAACTCAACGGCAATAAACAAAACTCCACGGCAATAAATAAACTCCACGGCAATAAACAAAACTCAACGGCAATAAACAAAACTCCACGGCAATAAATAAACTCCACGGCAATAAACAAAACTCCACGGCAATAAACAAAACTCCACGGCAATAAACAAAACTCCACGGCAATAAACAAAACTCCACGGCAATAAACAAAACTCCACAGCAATAAACAAAACTCCACGGCAATAAACAAAACTCCACGGCAATAAACAAACTCCACGGCAATAAACAAAACTCCACGGCAATAAACAAAACTCCACGGCAATAAACAAAACTCCACGGCAATAAGCAAAACTCCACAGCAATAAACAAAACTCAACGGCAATAAACAAAACTCCACGGCAATAAACAAACTCCACGGGAGTAAACAAAACTCCACGGCAATAAGCAAAACTCCACAGCAATAAACAAAACTCAACGGCAATAAACAAAACTCCACGGCAATAAATAAACTCCACGGCAATAAACAAAACTCCACGGCAATAAACAAAACTCCACGGCAATAAACAAAACTCCACAGCAATAAACAAAACTCCACAGCAATAAACAAAACTCAACGGCAATAAACAAAACTCCACGGCAATAAACAAAACTCCACAGCAATAAACAAAACTCAACGGCAATAAACAAAACTCCACGGCAATAAATAAACTCCACGGCAATAAACAAAACTCCACGGCAATAAACAAAACTCCACGGCAATAAACAAAACTCCACGGCAATAAACAAAACTCCACGGCAATAAGCAAAACTCCACAGCAATAAACAAAACTCAACGGCAATAAACAAAACTCCACGGCAATAAATAAACTCCACGGCAATAAACAAAACTCCACGGCAATAAACAAAACTCCACGGCAATAAACAAAACTCCACAGCAATAAACAAAACTCCACGGCAATAAACAAAACTCCACGGCAATAAACAAAACTCCACGGCAATAAACAAAACTCCACGGCAATAAGCAAAACTCCACAGCAATAAACAAAACTCAACGGCAATAAACAAAACTCCACGGCAATAAATAAACTCCACGGCAATAAACAAACTCCACGGCAATAAACAAAACTCCACGGCAATAAACAAAACTCCACGGCAATAAACAAAACTCCACGGCAATAAGCAAAACTCCACAGCAATAAACAAAACTCAACGGCAATAAACAAAACTCCACGGCAATAAATAAACTCCACGGCAATAAACAAAACTCAACGGCAATAAACAAAACTCCACGGCAATAAATAAACTCCACGGCAATAAACAAAACTCCACGGCAATAAACAAAACTCCACGGCAATAAACAAAACTCCACGGCAATAAACAAAACTCCACGGCAATAAACAAAACTCCACGGCAATAAACAAAACTCCACGGCAATAAACAAAACTCCACGGCAATAAACAAACTCCACGGCAATAAACAAAACTCCACGGCAATAAACAAAACTCCACGGCAATAAGCAAAACTCCACCGCAATAAACAAAACTCAACGGCAATAAACAAAACTCCACGGCAATAAATAAACTCCACGGCAATAAACAAACTCCACGGCAATAAACAAAACTCCACGGCAATAAACAAAACTCCACGGCAATAAGCAAAACTCCACAGCAATAAACAAAACTCAACGGCAATAAACAAAACTCCACGGCAATAAATAAACTCCACGGCAATAAACAAAACTCAACGGCAATAAACAAAACTCCACGGCAATAAATAAACTCCACGGCAATAAACAAAACTCCACGGCAATAAACAAAACTCCACGGCAATAAACAAAACTCCACGGCAATAAACAAAACTCCACGGCAATAAACAAAACTCCACAGCAATAAACAAACTCCACGGCAATAAACAAAACTCCACGGCAATAAACAAACTCCACGGCAATAAACAAAACTCCACGGCAATAAACAAAACTCCACGGCAATAAACAAAACTCCACGGCAATAAGCAAAACTCCACAGCAATAAACAAAACTCAACGGCAATAAACAAAACTCCACGGCAATAAACAAAACTCCACGGAGTAAACAAAACTCCACGGCAATAAGCAAAACTCCACAGCAATAAACAAAACTCAACGGCAATAAACAAAACTCCACGGCAATAAATAAACTCCACGGCAATAAACAAAACTCCACGGCAATAAACAAAACTCCACGGCAATAAACAAAACTCCACAGCAATAAACAAAACTCCACAGCAATAAACAAAACTCAACGGCAATAAACAAAACTCCACGGCAATAAACAAAACTCCACAGCAATAAACAAAACTCAACGGCAATAAACAAAACTCCACGGCAATAAATAAACTCCACGGCAATAAACAAAACTCCACGGCAATAAACAAAACTCCACGGCAATAAACAAAACTCCACGGCAATAAACAAAACTCCACGGCAATAAGCAAAACTCCACAGCAATAAACAAAACTCAACGGCAATAAACAAAACTCCACGGCAATAAATAAACTCCACGGCAATAAACAAAACTCCACGGCAATAAACAAAACTCCACGGCAATAAACAAAACTCCACAGCAATAAACAAAACTCCACAGCAATAAACAAAACTCCACGGCAATAAACAAAACTCCACGGCAATAAACAAAACTCCACGGCAATAAGCAAAACTCCACAGCAATAAACAAAACTCAACGGCAATAAACAAAACTCCACGGCAATAAATAAACTCCACGGCAATAAACAAACTCCACGGCAATAAACAAAACTCCACGGCAATAAACAAAACTCCACGGCAATAAACAAAACTCCACGGCAATAAGCAAAACTCCACAGCAATAAACAAAACTCAACGGCAATAAACAAAACTCCACGGCAATAAATAAACTCCACGGCAATAAACAAAACTCAACGGCAATAAACAAAACTCCACGGCAATAAATAAACTCCACGGCAATAAACAAAACTCCACGGCAATAAACAAAACTCCACGGCAATAAACAAAACTCCACGGCAATAAACAAAACTCCACGGCAATAAACAAAACTCCACAGCAATAAACAAAACTCCACGGCAATAAACAAAACTCCACGGCAATAAACAAACTCCACGGCAATAAACAAAACTCCACGGCAATAAACAAAACTCCAC